CTGTGATAGTTCACTCATTCTCTCTGTTTTCATGTTATTCATTAAACTCTTACTCAGTTTAAAATAATTTTTAATTTTTATGTATACATGATAGTTGTACATATTTATGGGGTACATGTGTTATTTTGACACAAGGATACAAATGTAAGATAAAATATGGTTAATAGTAATATCCATTACCTCAAACACTCATCACTTCTGTGTGTTGGGAACATTCCAAATCTACCCTTCTAGTTACTTTGAAATGTACAATAAATTACTCTTAACTATAGTCGCCCTATTGTGCTACCAAACACTAGATCTTATACATTATATTTCATTGTATTTTTGTACTTTTTAACCAATCCCTTCTTATCCCCTCTCTCTACTACTATTCTCAGCCTTCTGGTACCCACCAGAGGTGTAGTAAGTAGTTCCATGAGATCAATTTTTTAGCTTCCACATATGAGTGAGAACATGAACATTTGGCTTTTTGTCCCTGGCTTATTTGATTTAACATAATGTCCTCTGGTTCCATTCAAGTTGTTCCAGATGACAAGATTTCATTCTTTTTTATGGCATGATAATATTTCATTGTGTATATGTACCACATTTTCTTTATCTATTCACCCATTGATGGACATGTAGGTTGATTCCATATTTTGGCTATTGTGAGGAGTTCTGCTATAAACATGAGAGTGAAGATATCTCTTCAATATCCTGATTTCCTTTCTTTTAGATATATATGCAGCAGTGGGATTGCTGGATCATGTGGTAGTTCTATTTTAAGTTTTCTGAGAAACCTCCATACTGTTTTCCATAATGGCTGTAATACTTTACATTCTCACTAACAACATATGAATGTTCCCCTTTCTCCACATCCTTATTAGCATTTGTTATTTTCTGTCTTTTTGATAATAACCATTTAAACTAGGTTGGGATAATATCTCATTGCGGTTTTGATTTGCCTTTCCCTAATATTAATACTTAGTGAATTTGAACATTTTTTTCATGTAACTCTTGGCTATTTGTATGTATTCTTTTGAGAAATTGGTTATTCATATCTTTTCCTATTTTTAACTGGATTTTTTTGCTATTGAGTTGTTTGAGTTACTTATATTAATATATTCTGATTATTAACTTCTTGTCAGTTGAATAGTTTGCAAATATTTTCTCTGCCATTCTGTGGGTTGTCTCTTCACTTTGTTGGTTGTTTAACTTTTATTTATTTATTTATTTATTTATTTATTTTGCTGTGCAGAGACTTTGTAGTTTGGTGTGATCCCATTTGCTAATTTTTACTTTGGTTGCCTATGCTTTTGGGGTCTTACTCAAGAAATCTTTCCCCAGACCACTGTCCTAAAGTATTTTCCAATGTTTTCTTCTATTAGGTTAATAGGTTTAGGTCTTATATTTAAATCTGTAGTTCATTTGAATTTGACTTTTGTTGTATATGGTGAGAGATAGGAGTCTAGTTTCATTCTTCTGCATATGGATACCCAGTTTTCCCAGCACCATTTAGTGAAGAGACTGTCATTTCCCCAACGTACGTTCTTGGTGCCTTTGTCAAAAATGTGTTGACTATACATGCATGGATTTATTTCTGGCTTCTCTATTGTTTTCCATTGGTCTGTGTGTCTGTTTTTATGCCAATACCTTGCTGTTTTGGTCACTACAGTTTTGTAGTATAATTTGAAAGTACTCAGTTTTAACTGATGAAAAAGATTCCCTCATTAATTTTATATATGTTTTTTGGCCTCTCTTGTCCTATTTATGCTTTCACTTGGATGAACTTTAGAATCACTTTTAGAGTCTTAAAAAATGAATCAGGATTTAAATTGAAAGTCATGACACTAATACTTAGATTAAGAGAATTGGAACTATTTACCATATTGTCTTATGGTAAGACATTTAGTCAGCTTCTTTTTATGTTTCTGAGAAATATTTACAGTATAGATCCTATATACATTTTCAAATATCTATTCTTGAGGTAGTAAATTTTCTCATACTAATACATTCTCATCCCATTACATTTTCTAGTTGAATATTCTTTATATTTTAAAAAGCTAGCTATTAATATTATTTTTGTAACAGGCCACATTTATGTACTTTGTTAATACCTTAAAGTTATTAAAAGTATAAATGAATACTCAGTTGATTCATTTGAGTTTTTAGGTGGATAACCTTTCAAATTATTATACTTTTGATTTAATTTTTTATTGTATCAGTCAGAAATTCCATATAATGTCAAGCAATAGCAGTACCTATATGCATTTTTATATGTGCATTGTTCCTTACTTTAGAGTAATTACTCTAATCCTTCTCAGTTATATATGAGGTTGGATTTTGGTTAAAATATGTTTTCTATATCATATTAAAGAAGTATTTTGGTATTTCTATTTTATTAGGAACTTTTTATGCTTTAAAATGAGGAATATTTATTGAAAATTAGCAAATGATTTATAGACATGTCAACCTAATTCATTAATCTGAGATTTTTTTGACCTATTAATAAGGTATGTTTTATTAATAAACCCCAAATGTTAAGCCATTTTTGTCCTCTTGAAATAAACCTGACTTGCCATGTGCTATCATTCTTTTAATATAGTGTTGAATTTTATTTAATAGGATTTTATTGATTATTTTTATAAATATATTTATGGTGACAATGGATAGTAGTTTTATTTTTGTTTTAGATTTTTGAGGTGTTATTATTTAGTTTATGCCAGCTTAGTAAAATAAACTGAGAAAACTGAATGATTAAAAAAATCAAACATTTTGGAACAGTTTGTTTACATAGCATGAGAGTCACCTTAAAGTTTAACAAAACTTATTAATGAATTCTGTAGATGTAGTGTCTTTTTAGGTTGACTGGTAAGGCTTTCAAAGTTTTGGATGAATTTTAAAAGTATGCCCAATCAGAATGTGATGAATTGTCCTGGGTGCACAATTTGAAGAAGAGAGAACTTATAGACCTGGTAAGTTTTTCTTAATCTTTTTTTCAATACCACTTTCCTGTTCTCAACAGTCTCTGGCATCTGTCAATCCAGACATTTTCTACTTTGCCTTTTCCTTGGGGAAAACCTCTAGTTTTCTGCTGAGTAGGAAAAAAGCAGGTGGTTGGCTGCAATTAAGGAAGAGAACTAAAGATTTGCTTCTTAAATAGGCTTGCAATCAATTCTTTTATTTTAATCTCATCTTCAGAGGTATGTGGTATATATGATAGGGTACAAGCATCATCATTTATGTGCTCTGTAACATTAAGCATTAAGCCAGTATAAAAAACGTAACTTGAAATGGTCTCTACAAATTTGATATTCCCTGGCATTTAGAAAGCCTCTATTATGAGCTATTAATTATGCTTCTAAAATTCTATCAAATTATTTTATTCAAAATAATTTGCTAAAGTAAAACAAATGATATTTAGTGAAATCAGATTATGCTGACAACATGAAAAAATAATACATAAAACAAAACCAAATCAAGAAATAATAGGTTTAACATTTTATTTATGAATTAAGAAAAGAATTAGAAATAACATTTAGCAGCAGTTTACATTTATTTCCTTCGCCTTTTTTTTTTTCATTTTAAAGTCCACCTCTTGCCTGTCTTATGTTTTCTTTTTTACCCCAGAGTCTGATAATTTTGGGGCTTTCTAACATAGCGTCATTTCAACCTTCATCGTGGTGCTGAAGTTTATGGGGTTGGGGCTGAGGGGAAGTAAGAGGAAAGTCTCTTGGTAATGACACAGCCTCATCACCCTCCTCGTTTGCTGGATTTGGAAGCCAGCTCTTTGCTAATAGTCCTTTATGCCATAATTGGACTTAGAAGAATCCGATTGTCACCTGTGAATGCCAAATATGCTTCCACACCACGTTTCACATTTTGTCTGCAGAGACGGTGCATCCAGGAAACAGCCAGCCTTAAGAATGTGCAAATTCACACCACCGAACTGCTGAGAAATTCTTTAGCTCTAACTTAGAAACTGTCAGAGTGAGCTATATTTGCTCTCCCTGCCTGACATGTAACTGGAGTTCAAGAAGTCACTTATTTTTCATTCCATTATTATAAATGGGACTAAAAATAGAAGTAGAACTCGAGGTTCTCACCCCCCAGCTGAAGAAATCACAGTGAGGAGCACCTGCCACGCAGGGCATGGTTAATTAGCTTGGAGGTTCTAGCTGGCCTTTCCTGGACTACAGAGGGCATCCAGACAGCCAGCGAGGGTTCTGTCATCCCCTGAGTATGAAAGCCAGCAAGGAAATGCTTTCATTTAGCTAAAAGATGCGCCAGCCAGCCAATGTGGGTGTCCTGGATAATTTCATTAAGACAGGCCACTGTTCTGCACAATTTTAATTCAGTCACAGTCTCCAAGCTATTTCTTCTGGCTTTGACATTTCCTGGGAGTAATTTGAAAGAGTGGAGGCATAATCAAGGAAATGAAATATTTCTACTTCTCTACTAACTTTAGAGCTGTAGTGCGGATAAATGCCAAGGCTGAAACCTTGCAGGAAGGCTTAATGTTCCCAGAAAAGAGGTAGTTGCCACTTGATGAGAACAAGAGGGAGACACTTAGGAGAATGTCATCTAACCACAGACAGATCACAAAATTGAGCACAAGGTTAGTGGGCCTCAACACATAACTTTAACACTGAGTTTAGATTTATTTCATGGCATGCAATGTGGCAAGAATTTAGTCTAGGATCTAGGTGAATGTGTATATGGAGGCAGCTGGCTCCTACAAGATTACTCTTTTTGATTTTATGAGTCTTAGTATGTTGACAGCTCATGTCAGACAACCAGACTCCAGCCTAAGCAATGGTGGTGAAGAGGAGCTAGTGCAATGAAGCTGAAAATGACATAAGGGAAGCAAGTATTGCCTCTGAAATAAATACGAATTTTCAGAGCAGTTACACTGGATTTGAGCTGTGGGATTACATGCTTAAGTAGCACTTAAAACGGTGTCCTCCCTTCCTCCCTCCTTCCCTCCTTCCCTCCCTCCCTTCCTTCCTGTTCAGAAAAGTCATGATTTGCAGTGCTTCGGTGCCAAGCGGTGATGCGTGTGGGTTGATATTTGGTATAGTATTAAATTGGGGTCATGCTAATTTCACTCTGCTGATAAAGGATGTATGTTCAAGCTTCATATTCCATTCTTCATACTCTGTCCCCTTGCAAATGCAGAATGGTCCTTTATTTTCTTTACTCTTCACCTCCTCCACAGGCTCGTTCACTTTACTTATCAGCTGTGACACTGTGGTCTGAATCAGTCTCTCTAGAGCAGTGTTTTTCAAACTGCAGGTCCCGACCTCTTAGTGGGTCTTGAAATCAATTTAGTGGGTTATAAACAGCACTTTTAAAAAATGAAGTAGAAGAGAATGCATGATATTAGAATGCATTGCACATAGGAATAAGTCCTGTTTTAATGATATGGTTTGGTTAAAGGTGTGTGTGTTCTCTAACACTGTGTAAAATATTTAATGTGGGACACAGATGAGAAAAATTGAAAAGCACTGCTGAGGGGTGGTGAGATTCATTGGTCCCACAGATAAGCTGTCTGCATTAGCTGACGTGGTTCTCATTCAGGTGTTCTTGTGCTTCCAAACATTAATTTCTATGTGTTTTCCAAGCCTTGTCCTCTAGACAGTTTTATTAGCTCCCAATATCCTTCCAGTAAATACTTTTCCTGCTTAAGTGAACCATAGTTGAACCACAGTAGTCTGCAGAGGTCTCTGAATTATGCTCTAATATAGAGGAGTTAAGTGTTAATCCACCTAATACTGATGCAACAAGAGTTCTGAAATGGGGAAGGTCAGTCATAACTGGTGTCAGGAATCCAAAATTAATGTGGCTTACTCCCCTCCTCTTTTTCTCTCCTAGAAAAGACAAAGAAAGCCAAGTTGAGTTCACTAATTAAGGTCAAACAGATCCTCAAATGAAGGCAATATTCTGATTATTGGTAATGTCATTTGGAATTTTAATGAAATTTATTATGCCATATCACCCTTAATTAATGTTCACTGAAAGCCAACTGTTATACTCGGCAATTAGAATTGGAAAGGATTGTTAAGAGTAAAATCACCAGATGAAATAGTTTCAGGTATGACATTGTGCCTCTGTGCTATTCCAACCAATATATTAAATAATTATAGGGTTTAGGATCTAAGCAGAGTCCTAGGCTAGAAGTACTATATTTATTGCTTTATGTATTAATAATAATACAAGATAGGAAGCAATCTAAATATTCATCAACAAGAAATTTTAACAATTAATTGGTTATCTATCTACACAATTGACTATTATGCAATTTTAAAAAGTTTTTCCTTCTGTACTAACATGAAACAATCTCTGAGATAAATCAAGCAAAAGCGAGGTGTAGAATGATGCATTTAGTAAGATTCATTTGGCTTAAAAAAAGAGAGAGTGCGAGAATTACATATTCGCTTGCTTATGCATAGAAATATCTCTAGAGTGAGCTACAAGAAATTGATGCCTTTGGCAAAGGAAACTGGAGATTTCTTATGAGAAGGCTATTTCTCCTATTTTCCTTTTGAACATTTTGAATTTTACATTTTTTAAAAATCCGTAAATTTAAAATGTAAAGCACCTTTTTACATGATTATCTTTAACCTTGACTATCTGTTTTCTTTAGGTCCTTTTGCTCTTTTTTACCCATGCCTTGACATGAGGAGAATTATTAATATAATTTCCAAAAATCTCTATTTGGAAGAATGTGGAATTGAGGTGGAGTAACTAGCCTTAATGATCACTGAAATACCAGAGACCCTGGAGCTTGTGACTTTCCAGGGTGGAATTTGGCCCTTGTTACTTGGACCAAGTGTGTTTGGGCATATCGTGAGTGAGCAGCAACATCTGTTTTATTATTTTGCATAGAGTATGACCACTTGTGAGTGTTTCTACAAATGGTGGGTATTTATAACATAACACAAAATGTGCACACTCACAAAAATCCCTAGTGATGGGGACTCAGTTGCTGTCATAATTCACTGATGCTTCTGAAGTCAACTGTTTTGTGACACCCAGGATATCATTTGATGAAATTAAACTATTGCTCCTTCTGTCCACTTCTCATTACAGACATTAGTAGGAATATATTATGATGACCAAAAATTGTATTTTATATTTATGAAACAAATAAAAGTTCTGGTGCAATATACTGATTCTAAAAAATAACTGACAGTAAAATGAACACCACTTGGGCTATAATCTTTTCAAGCACTGAAGAGGGAAAAAAAAATACCTATATGACTATGGGATGCTTATTTGTGTATTAGTTTAATAAATGAGATGCCTATGCTTCCTATAATTTTTATTTTTCAATTTTTTAAAAACTTTTTCAATACCCAGAATAAAAATACATCTATCGTGGCTATTTTTGAGCTCTTATTTAGGTAATATTAGAATATTTGTTCTATAGAAATGAATATTGTCATATTCAGTCATAGTATATTTCAAGAACTTTAGTTAAAGCGATCTAAGTGAGTATATTCTGTAGAATTTTATTAGTAGAGGTATAATATGCAAAATACCACCAGTTTAAACTTTTAGGTTCAATCCCTTAATATCTAATTCATTGTATGCATTTTAAAGAATGTCATATTTTCCACTGATACCATTTGCATGCCATCTGTTTGGTGAGGGGATATTTGAAATCATGCCAATTGGCAGCAATGGTTATTGTTGAAGCTAAATTTGGCACTATATATTTCCTCTTCTCTACCCACACCACATATATTCATCCACAAATAATGTACCTGAGCTATAGTAGACAGGGTTAAACAGTTCGACCATCCACAGTTTCCTCCTTCTCATCCTCTCTTCATTCTTCTACCTCTCACCCCCAACCCGCCCCCGCCCACCAAACCTCTCTCTGTCATAGATAATCCTTATGGTAGACTCTGGGGTGAAGGTGATTACCCCTCCTAACACTGCCTATGAATTTTGGAATAGAAAATGTTGTATTGGTATGGAGTTAAACTGCAGAACAAAGCAATAGGAGGCATAAAGCACTGTTAACAGAAGTAATGAAATTCTTGGCCAAGGAAACTGGTGACTCTAGAAAAGTAAGGGAGGAAGAGAGAGGAGAGAGCCATTTGCAGAGTAACAGATGTCTTAAGATGGAAATAGACTCAGATTTAGCAAGAATTTATAAATGCTTCAGAGATACACTTTCCCACCAAAGTTGACATTATCTTTTCTTGTCTAGCAGTTAACTTCAGCAGTAATACACTTTGGCACAACAGTTTGCCAATGAAGCTGATTTAACCCAGAATATAATATTAACTTTAAATAGAAACACCCTTAGATTCTGGTTATAAAATTAGTTTAAATAATGCAAACAAATGAAAATTTAAAGTTAGATATTGTTAACATTACCATTTCAATTTCTCCTTGGTAATAAATAATACATGCCTAGTGATACTTTTGCAGGTTCAGAATTCTTTAGATGGTCCCTATCTGGCCTCTGGCTTCGTTATGAAAGGTGTGCTTATAGGATGGAACAATATTCAAATACAGTATTTCCCATTGAGACATTTACATTTGTTTTTTCATTTGTGCTCCAAAAAAACATACACTCCATACGAATAACATTGGCTACATCACTAAACAGTGGCAAGAATATGCCCTGAGGCCAGGCGCGTTGGCTCAGGCCTGTAATCCTAGCACTCTGGGAGGCCCAGGCAGGAGGATAGCTCAAGGTCAGGAGTCCAAAACCAGCCTAAGCAAGAGCAAGACCCCGTCTCTACTAAAAATAGAAAGAAATTACTTGGACAACTAAAAATATATATACATAAAAATTAGCCAGGCATGGTGGCGCATGCCTGTAGTCCCAGCTACTCGGGAGGCTGAGGCAGGAGGATCGCTTGAGACCAGGAGTCTGAGGTTGCTGTGAGCTAGGCTGATGCCACAACACTCTAGTCTGGGCAGTAGAGTGAGACTCTGTCTCAAAAAAAAAAAAAAAAAAGAGAATATGCCCTTAATTGATTACGTACAATGACCTCATCTTGAAAGGAGACTCAGGGAAGTGCTATACCAATTCATCAATTACATGCATAAAACAGAGATTTCTTCAATTTTATTGTTTTGATATGACATACTTTTATGGCTATCTCATATACCTATATAGTACTATCCATCAATATCTTTAAAAAAATGAACTTTAGAACAAAATAAAATTTTAGTTCAGGTCTCAGCTCACTATTTATTGGCTATGTGGTCTCGGGCAAACTACTTATCTCTGAGTGTCAGTTTTCACCTGTAAATTGAGAAAATAATTATATCTACATCAAAGATAGAATTAAATTAGTTATGTGTGATTTGTTTTTTTTCTTCTCTAGTCAGTACATTTCCTTTGCCAGTTTTTCATTTAATATCTTAGTGTTTTACGTATTGATTTGTAATTGTGTTTTGGAATTCCTTGTTGTAAACAATTATTCACAACTCATGGTCTTGCATTTTATGATATTTTTAAATATGGCCTTTTAGAATTTTGATATTGACAAAATTAAGCTCCATTGTCCTTAGATTATTTCCTCCATTGTGCTTTATGTTAAGAAAGTTCTTTCTTACCCAGGGAGCAGGTCCCCCCAGATATATATATTTTATATAACAATATTATTTTAATTGATTTTCATATTTTAGTTTTGCATTTATTTCTTCAATTCATTTGTAATATAAGTAGCATTTGATGTCAGATAACATCTTAAATGCTCTTTCAAATAATTAGTCAGTTCACCCAGTGGCACTAATTGAATAATCCTTCTACTTTGTTATGTTTTTAATATCATATATTAAGTTCTTATTTTGCTAGGATTGGCTTTTAAGTTATTTTTCTTGTTACACTGATCTCTCTGTTAATTCTTCTGTAGTTCTTCACTGTTTAAGTTTTTCTGTTTACAGCTGTCTTTACCATCTGGTAGGGCCAATCCTTCTTCATTAGACACTATCAAAATTTTGAGTATCTTTTTCCTCCTGTTTTTCCAGATAAGCTTTAGAATTTATGTGATATTTTGAGTAATTTTTCTTTGCATGTTTTGAAAAAGTAGTACATGTCTATGGTAAAAAGACAAAAAATAAAATGGAAAGTAAATATTCCTCTCAATTCTGATCCCCAGTTTTTCTTTCCCAGGGGCAAACTACTTAGTGTTTAAAAACACTGGCAGTGGAGACAGACTGCCTATATTCAAACCACAGCATGCGGTTGCCATCTGTGTGACCTTAGGCAAATTATGTAAACTTTCTATTCCTCAATTTTCTCATCTGGAAGATGGGGATACTAATTATACCTAACATATGGAATTGTTTTGATAAAAAAAATCACTTAGAACAATCCCTAGGCCAGTGTAAGTGTTCTGTAAAACTTGGCTATTATCATTGTTAGCAAAAGTTTCTTGTAAACACTTCTAGAGGTAGTCTATGCAGACAAAAACACGTGTACTTTATTCAAACAAATGGAAACAAAGTGTGCACATTCTTCTGTACCTCTTTCATAAAAAATAATAATCATGTAGATAATTCTAATATCAGTATATATAGGTCTACCTTCTTCTTTTGAATAACTTCATAATATATCATTGTACAGATAATATTATTTATTTTAAAAGTCTATTGCTAATAAATATTTAGATTGATTCCAGTCTTGTTATTACAATGTTGCGATGAATAATTTTGTCTCTATGTACTTGTCTGTGTATTTGTTGATCGGTTTCTAGAAAAGGCATGGTCAGATCAAAGCAGTTTTTACTTGCCCTCCCTAGATATTGCATCAGCTTGTATAGCCATCAGTGATGTGGGATAGATTCTGCATCAACACACTATTCTTAGCACAAAAGATTATCAAACTTTGTCTTTGCATGTCTAAGAGATAAAAAATGGTGTCTCATGGTTTTAATTGGCATTTGCTTAACTATGAGTAAGGCTGATTTCTTTTGATATGCTTTAAAAATTGTATTTGTTTTTATCTGAACAGTCAACAAATGTTCTTTTGCCCATTTTAAATTGGGGTTTGGTCTTTTTCATGTCAGATCTGTAAGAACTTTCTGGATAGTAAGAATATGTGATCTTTGACATATATGTGACAAATGTATTTTCTCAAATTCTTCAGTTGTCTCTCACATACTTTATAAATCTTGTGTATGTGACATAGACATGTAAAGTGGCTATGTAGTAGTCACATTTCTCCTAGATTTTGTTACAGGCTTCTGACTTCTTTTTTGAGACATGGGTTTGTGAGTAGGTCACATCTCTTGTTCTGGATCTTCTTTGTGATATTGAGGAATGAGCTTAAGAGAATCAAGAGTTAGAAAGAAGATGCTCAAGTTCTGATGGGGATCTAACCCAGTTTAATAGATTTTGAGGCAAGTTACCAGGAGATTAAAGTAACGGAGTCAGGGGAAGGCAATCATTGTCACATCTGTCATGGAGTGAACTTAACACTTTCCTCTCTAGACCAGGGGTGGTTCCTGGTGTCCTGCCCAACCCACAGGCTATGAGATATAACCTCTTACTTTGGTCTTAATCATTAGAATTTATTTCTAAGTTTGCCATTGCATATCAGTGACTTTCAGCAAATGTGAAAATCACTTTTTTTGAGTCTGTGTGTGTTAAAAATATTTGTATAATATAATTTATAATATCATTGTAGATATAGGAAAGAGATGATGTTTCGCACTTTGCTTATCAGAGAGTCTTTTTAGTGTATTGCTACTAACTGGTTCTTAAAACTATTTGTGATGTTTACTGCTCACTTTAATGAAGAGAATATTGGAGAAGAAACTATAGAACACTTGGATGGTTTTTCTGCAGTATTGATCAAGTATATCAAGGAAGATAGATTTGTATTTTTTATACAGGAATAAAGGGCTCATTTCTCTTTTCTATTCCAGTAGGCCTGATAAGAGCATTAAGCCTTTCTCTTTTTTTTATTTTTAAATCCATGGAAACTCTCTTCTTAGAACCGCTTCATTGAGCTTTGAGCAAGATTTTTCTTACTCAGATTTCTGCATATTTCTGCCCCCAACTTGCTGTTTTTTACTGTGATATTTTACAAAAGATATTCAACTTAATAAAAGTTACATTCATTTAAAAATAATCTTAGAAAACTTGAAAATCAGGAAAAGTTCCAAGAACATGATAAATATATAATAATAATAAATAATAAATTAGCTTATTTCCCCCGGCACCATCTAAAAGTTTGGATAGCTTCAGTCATCTCCACAGCTGGCCTCTGGAATGGCCCTTCTGCCTTGGGTTACCTCTCGTAGGTCCTCACAGCCCCCAGGGTTACTAGGTAACCAGGCACCACCCTCTATTACTAGGGAATTCTTTGAGTGACAGCTCAAAGGCCCTATCTGAGTGCTGAACTTGATGGTGCTTACACCAAGACACCCAAGTTCCATTGCCCTTCCTGCCCTGCCACCCCCCAACCCCTGCAGACACACCCCCTTGGGTCCCTTACTTCAAGGAATAAATCAAAGCTTAAATAAATAAATAAAATTTTATATAATGGTACCTTCCTATGATCTTTTGTAACCTAGTTAACTAGTCTCTTTATTTACACTGTTTCTAGGATTTTGCTTTTATAATCGATATTGGGGATTACATCATTGTACGTGCAATTTTTTCCCCACTCGATAGCTTGTTTTCTTTGAATAAACTACTAAAAATGAAATTTTACATCACAGAATAGGCATATTTTTAAGGTTGCTGATACTTATGTCATAGTGCTCACCACACTTTATAGAAAATTATACCAGCAATGGAATAGAGTCCTCTTTCTTAGAGCCCTTAATCATATAGAGTATTAAAATTTTAAAATCTCTACTGATCTGTAGGTTAAATATATAATCTCATTGGTGGTATAATTTTCATTTACTGGTTACTAGTGAGGTTTAAAATTTTTTGCTTGTATTTATTCTTTTAGAAAATGACTATGTACTTAAATCATTTTAATTTTGTAGTGTTTGATTTCTTATTATTGGCTAATAAGTGCTCAATATATAAATGATATTAATCCTTTAACTGTCATGTAGTCCACTGAATATTCAACAATTCAAAAGTTCTCCTGGATTTTGTTTTTATATGTAACAATATTTATACTTGATTTTTACATATATATGTGCACACACACACAACATTTTGCTTTCTTACATGCAAATGCTTATCTGTATATTATTTTATTTTAGATTTTAGATAACAATATGACTAAAAAGGACATTAATTCAACTGTGGTATATATTTTGAAATATATTTTAAAAATAGTATCATCATCAATCTCTTCGTTAAATTTTTTAATGTATGTTTTAGAAGTTCTATTCTTCTAAGCTTGTATTAAAGATTAGGGACATTTTGCCTCCATAATGTTGCTTCAGATGATTTCTGTGATTAAATTCACTTAAATATGACTGCTATATTTTGAACTATGCTTCTTTATTTACTTTTAAGAAGAAAAATCTACTGCTTTGGGCACAATTACTTCTATTTATATACAATTTTGAAACTGAAAGATGCTTCAGAAGATGATTCTTCTTGTCGTTTTATACATGCAATTGCTCTCTCAAAACAAATCATGTTGGAAGTTTATATAACTGATTTATCTACTTCATAAAATATGCTTTGTTGATCAATTTTAAGTCATTTCCCTATGTTCTTTTTGATTCTTGCCTCATGGTTTCAAGGGTCAGTTTGTCAAATGCAACAAGTATTATTAGTACTAAAATCTACCAGGTATTACATATTTACACTGTGCCAGTGTAACTTGCTTAAGCCATTCAGCTAGAAGAGCCAGGATTAGACCTACAGAGTCTCAAGTGAATCAGAAAATTCTATTTTTATGTAAAATTTCTAGGTTTGCTAATGTTGGCAACTAATTCAAATTCAAATATATTTTACATATTATGTGAGTCAACAAAATTCGGGCCAAAGAGAAAATATCTGTAGGCTGAATGCAGCCCAAGGCTACCATTTTGTGACTTTGACTGACAGGATCATTTTAACTCCTTTCCATCCTTCTAGTACCCCTGACTTTGTTCACTACTGCTGCCTTTTCTGGATCTTCCTAAGGGGCACTTATCATACTCTGGTCTCTACATTATTAAATTGGGCTTGTTCACTAGTTTCTTCTCATATTCTTACAAATAATTAAAAAGGACAAATAGGCAGAACTGACAAAGAAAGAGAGATTGAGAGAGAGAGAGAGAGAGAGAGAGAGAGAAGAGGGGGGAAGAGAAACAGAGAGATAGGGAGAGACTGAGATAAACTGTGTGCATTTGGTGTTCCATATACTGAAATGGAAAGACTCTTAAAGATGAGATTGAAAAAAATGAAAATATTTTTTTGAAAAGAATCAGGCACTCTTAGAAAGAAGCTGTTCCTTACCTGTTAATCCTTATTAGAAGTTCTCTGGGCCTAAATACTGCAATGCTGTTTTATTAGGAAGAGTACGTCATGTCAACTGCAGGGTTATGTTAACTCTTATCTCCACCCTTGTCTACTCCCTCCTTTCTTTTTCTTCAATAGATTGAAAACTCCTCATTTGAAATTCTTTCCCCACATGTCAATTCTTTCTTGCATGACATTGATCACATTTACGCTCTGTTCTTTGTTCTTGGCATATATATTGCTAGTGGTACTGGTCTTTGCATTTCAACTGCACTTTAATTGGGATATTTCATTTGAATCTTGAGCTTGTCAGTTTTATGCCGTCTTGCTCACAACATCCAGCAGAGAAATCGGTCCCATCAGCTCTCTCCTTGCAGAGTTGACATGGTTGAAGTGCTCTTTAGGCAAGGGAAGCTTTTATTCCAGAAATAGAGAGAAACTTCATGAACTGAAAGGCTGGTGTGTGACCTGCAAAATCGAAAATGGGCTTGACTAAACTGGGACACCTCTGCCCCCTCCTGCTGCACGAAAATAGAGTATATTCAGCCAACCCCATTTGTCATGTGGGGTTTGACTGCTCCTGTGAGAAGGGCTACATAATAACGTGGAATAAAATATAAATGATTGCTAGGATTTAAAAAGTATATATATGTATTTATGAAATTCCTTTAAAAGAGATAACTGATGCTATGTTATAATTTTCTAAAAGAGATCATACTGGAGGGTTTACTTTTTTGGTAAACCTTCCCCCTTAATTTTTGCAAAAGATCCTTTTCACTCTAAAACAATGCTAAGCCACCAGATATATTAAAATATAATAGAAATTGTACATTTTTATGAGTTTTTAAAGTTTCCACTTATATTTGTCTTATATTTAAAGAAAAAAAAAGACCTTAAGGGCAAAGGAAAAGAGTTGGGGCCACGCCGAAAGACAATTGTCAAAGTGTCATTGATGACTGCTGTCATCTACTGCAGGACTCCCCAAATGGCCAAACGAGGAGTCGCGTGAATGTTCTTCATATTTTTACATGGTTGAATAGAACAAAAGAAGCATAATATTTTTTGACATGTAAAAATTATATGAAATTAAAATTGCAGTGCTCATAAATAAAGTTTTATTGGACTTAACATGTAGTCTTTGTGGTTGCTTTCATACTACAATGATAGAGTTGAGTAATTGTAAAAGAGATCACATACCTCTGAAAGCCACTATCTGGCTCCCTAGAGAAAAGTTGGTTGACCCTAAATCACAGTAATAATTTTTTATTTTTTATTTTCATTTTTTTTTTTTTGGAGAGAGTGTATCATTCTGTCACCTTGGGTAGAGTGCAGTGGTGTCATCATAACTCACTACAACCTCAAACTCCTGAGCCCAAGTGAACCTCCTGCCTCAGCCTCTGGAGTAGCTGGGACTACAGGTGCACACCACCATGCCTGGCTAATTTTTTCTTTTTTTAGTAGAGATGGGGTCTCACTCTTGCTTAGTCTGGGCTCAAACTCCTGAGCACAAGCAGTCCTCCCACCTCGGCCTTCCAGAGTGCTAGGATTACAGGCGAGAGCCACTGCACCCAGCCTAGTAATAATTTTTTAAACTATAATATTTTATTCTTAATTTACAAAATCATTGTGTTTTGTGGATTGCCAACTCATTCTCTTCTTTTTTGTTTTTTTTTTTTTTTTCTTTGAGACAGAGTTTGCTTTGTTGCCCAGGCTACAGTAGTGAGTGCCGTGGCATCAGACTAGCTCACAGCAACCTCAAACTCCTGGGCTCAAGCGATCCTACTGCCTCAGCTCCAAGTAGCTGGACTACAAGCATGCACCACCACATGCGGCTAATTTTTTTCTATATATATTAGTTGGCCAATTAATTTCTTTCTATTTATAGTAGAGACAGAGTCTTGCTCTTGCTCAGGCTGGTTTCAAACTTCTGACCTTGAACCAGCCGCCCGCCCTGGCCTCCCAGAGTGCTAGGATTACAGGAGTGAGCCACTGCGCCCGGCCTCATTCTCTTCTAGTTAGCCAGAAGTTTTTTTCCCCAAATCATTAATCTACATATATTTTGCTTTGCAAATTTTTTGTCTTAACTTTATGTAGACAAACACATTATCCCTATTTCTGTCTATATTTGTGTGCCAAAAATTATTGAGGCTGCACTCAGACTTTAACAAAATGTAAAGGAAAAATTGGAAATGAGGCTGGTCCCAGGAAATATATTTCTCAGCATGTATTAATACTTTAACTCTTTTATTGGGTTGCACCATCACCTGATAGAAGCTATTTGAAATGTCAACTTGTCCATCAATAATAAACAACATTTATCATAATGTGTACATTTATCATGATGTGTACATTTCATATGCCTTATACAAGCACACAATGCCTCTCACAATCTTGCCCCAACCTACTCTTCTTAATTCATCTTTCAATACTTTGTCTTGTCTATGTATCCTTCACTTCAGCCACGGCAAACCTTTCACTCTTCCCTGATATGCCTCCCCTAATCTCTATCTGTTTGCTCTGCCTGGAATTCCCTGCTCACCACTATTAGCCTTTGTTTTCAATCTGTTCCAAATTTGTGGTGACATTACTCTATAGCCTACATCACTTTGGTCCATATATCACTTTGATTCATTTATTTTCAATGCTATGAAAATTTCAAGCCTCCAAGACCAGAAACTGGTCAAAGAGTTTTAATGTCCATTTATTTTTCCTTAACAAAATGTCCAGAACGTACTTAGATGTTACCCTCATGTTCCTGGTCTTTTGAGTAGAGGTGGAAAACTAACCAATCCTAGGTCTAGATCTGGTGTTGCATGTGTTTGAGCTGATGAACGTGGGGTATGAAACACAGCGTATAAAGTAAAGTGGGGAATTACAGGCCTTCAACGCCAGTAATTGGAGACGATGTCCTGTTTTCTCTCTCTTTTATTTTTAATTTTTTTAAGAGTTAAAACAGCAGAGGTTGTGGCTGCTGATGAAATTATTTACATCCTCCTTGAGAGCTAAATTCATCAATTTCTGTCAGGAGGCAAGGTTTTAAGCAAATCCTTAAACTACTAGAGGGAAGTTGGCCATCAAGGGTCTGGAAAATGGAAGCCTAGGCAGGAGAATTTGGATGTAGTAGTCTCCCTTCCTTACTGCAAGCATGCAAACATCTCACAGACAAAAAAATAAAATAAAAATAAATGTAGTAATCTTTGACATGCCCTACTTCAGAATGATGGTCATATATTAATATTGTTTATTTTAATAAGAATTAAAAAATTGTATAGCAGGGTGATAGGAGGTTTGAGATTTTCTTTAAAATTTCACATAGCAATCGTAAATTCTATTCATATTTTAAGTTCGGCTTTTATTATACTTCCTAACTCTGCCAGACAGAATTAATTAGTTATTTTTTCTGCACCATAGCATTTTTTTCAGCATAGCACTTATTGTGTAGTATTGTAATTTATATTTCTGTCTCCTCAAATGTACTGTGAGCTTCTTGAAGAATATGTGGTATATATCTGCAAAGAAAAGGGTCTCACCAAATGTTAACAATGATCAGTTTTGGACTGTGAGATTATTTGTGATCTTATAAGAGAATTTGTTTTTGGTTTTGATTTTCTAAATTTTTTCAAATATGTTTTCTTTTTCTCAGCAGATATGTATTGACTTTGTGCCATTACTACACTAGGCATTAGGTACTATGCAGTCAACAAGACAGAGCAAAATCTCTGTCTTCAAGGAGCTTATATTCTTGGGGGCAGCTAGGAAAAAATAATAAAGAAGAAGAGGAGGAGAAGGAGGAGAATGAGAAGGAAGAAAAAGTAATGATAGTAGCAGTAGACACTGATCAATGATTATAGATCATTTGGAGGTAAAAGTAAGATAAAGGATGGCTCCTAATGGAGAAATCTTAAGTAGAGAAGAATGTATGGAAGATGTAAATATGTTTGTACACCACAGGTTCCTTAAACATCATCTCTAACAGTGAACATTTCTTTCCATAAAAAAAAAACAACTTTATAATCCTTTCTGCTGTTGTAAAAAGTGGTGATAGATAGGATTAGATGGAACCCTCACCTCTTAGTCTCCTTCTGACACATCCACTACCTACCTTTGTCCCTGCAGAAACTTCGGGAAGGCTATTATTTGTAGATTTACCAGAGAAGGTTGATGGACTAAGTTTAAAGGCATATATTTAAAGTATGAAAGAGGGAATAATTTATGGGTCAGATTCTCTGTAGACATAGGCTAAGAACCAACTTTGGAAAGAAAGCAGGACATAGCTTGCTGGGAGAGAGAAACAAATGTGAGAAAGTGGAAGTCTACAGAAATGTTAGGAGAATAGCAATGATGGATTGGAGTCATTTTACCTCATCCTCCAACCTCCAGAAACATTACCAAAACCACTACAAGCAAAAATAATAATCTTTAAAATGAATAACTTCTTTTTCTTAATGTCATGTAAAATTTGAGCGAATTGAACCGTTAGAAAATTCTATGATTATTGATCCAAAACAATATGATATAATTAAAAACAACATTCTTACTTGCAAATGCTGTTTCAAGACTTTGCCCTTACTTCTCCCTTTTAGCCAAATTCCTATGCTATGCCACTGTCCAGTGGTCAAAAGGGACGAGAAAATTCTTTTCCACAAAGGTTGCACGAATTTGCAGTCCCATCAGCAGTGTAAGAGTGTTACTGTCTCTCCGCATCCACGCCAGCATTTGTTGTTTTGGGATTTTTTGATACAGGCCATTCTTGCTGGGGTTAGGTGGTATCTCATTGTGGTTTTGATTTGCATTTCTCTGAAGATTAGAGATGTTGAGCATTTTTTTATATGTTTGCAGGCCATTATTCTGTCTCCTTGGAGAAGTTTCTGTTCATTTCCGTTGCCCATTTCTTGATGGGGTTGTTTGATTTTTTTTCTTGTTAATTCTTTTAAGTTCTAGATAGATTCTTGTTATTAGACCTTTATTAGAAGTGTAGAGAGCAAATATTTCTCCCATTCTGTGGGTTGTCTATTTGCTTTAATGGAATTTGGAGATACCTCAAACAGCTGGATATAGAAATACCATTCAACCCTGCAATAGCATTGTTGGGCATCTACCCAAAAGAGCATAAAACATTCTGTTACAAAGACATCTGGACCCGATGTTTATCGCAGCACAATTCACTATTGCAAGGTCATGGAAACAACCCAAGTGCCCGTCAATTCAGGAGTGGATAATTAAAATTTGGTATATGTTCACAGTGGAATACCACTCAATTCTAAGAAACGACAGTGAGCTAGCACCGTTTATGTTATCCTGGATTAAGTTTAAGCCTGTTATCCAAAGTGAGGGGACACAAGACCAGGAAAATGGGCTCCACATCTACTCGCCATCAAATTGGTACTGACTGATTAAAACTATGGTGCTCAAATGGTGGTAGTACTCACCAGGGATTGGATGGGGGGGAGACCCACATCCTAGGGATGTGGCGAGCATTGTGGGGAGGAGGGAATGCCTCTAACCCTTCTTAGGGAGAGGCAAAGATATACAATGTAACCAAAATGTCAAGCAAACAAACAAAAAAACCTTTTATCTGGTGGTGGGCAGGTGGGGGGAGGGGGAGAAGGCTGTATACTTATATAATGTGTGTGGTGCACACCACCTGGGGGTTGGAAATGCTTGAAGCTCTGGCATGGAGTTGGGAGGGGTGGCAGGGGCAATATATGTAACCCTAACAATATCTGTATCCCCATAATATAATGAAATAAAAGAAAAAAAAAGGGATGAGAAAAGAGAAGTCATGTTGGATGGCTTTATTTGTCTCACAGAAGTAGAGGGTTGACTGACTCACAGGTTAAGATTTGTGAGCTTGGAAAAAAAGGGCAAAGATAATCTAGAGTAGCGATGAAAGGCATGGCATAAATAAAATGTTGATTATAGGCATTCTCTGCTGCCACTATTAATGTGCTACTGCTTTTTTTTCTTTTATTGCTTTTCTTCCTTATCAATTGTAGCAACAATCAATCATTTGCTACCCCCCTGCAAATCTCAAGCCACTATTTTAACTTCGGTGTTGAGCTTCTGCTACTATTATTATTACTTGTGTTATTTTTATTTGCATATAGGTACTATTAACCTATAATGCTAGCATAAGTACACAGAGTTGAACCACCTACATGAATGCCAGGATTCAGATAAAAGGAAATTCTAATATAAGGTAGGGATAATGTGGCCCCTTTAATAAACTAGAGAAAATTCAAGGCTTGGACACGACAAGAATATAGTGCTGTAGATAAGTTATTGCTGTTAGTATTGATTCTGTACTAGAACCAGGATGATGATAAACTATTACCTGTCCATCCAAGGAAGGTAATTGTTAAATCTAATGATTGCTTTAGGGAAGAATGGGATGGCAATTTTTAGTGAAATTGATGCTTCTATTGTAATGTAGGTCTGGGACTAGGAATTTAGTGGGTGTGACAGTGCCTTTGCTGTAGAACAGTACTCATTAGCCCTGGAGTCAGGAGATAGTTGAAAGGACCAGGTAACATTTGAGTTCTGTTTCTTTTTTTACTCAGTGAGAGAGAAAAACTGCTTCTGTTTGAGGAGAGGACAATGTGATATAGTCAACTATGGAGAAAAGGAAATAATAAAATAGTGAGGCCTGAAATAAGAGGCAAATTATCTCTGACAGTAGGGTCCATTCCATTTGAAACCCCATCATAAACAGAGTTAAATATCAGCCTTTCCTACCTCTTGCTTATTCTCCTCATTTCTGGTGAAGCTTCCTCTCTTCCATGGCCCTGGATGACAGAATTCTTTACTGGGATGCCTACCTTTAGACCTGTCTTTTACCAGAAATTTCTAGACTCAGTCTGCTTCACCTTCCTTATCAAATCATCAGGCTTTCTTCTTCTCCATCATGATGTCACACTGGGGAATATGGGCTGAATTGTGTCACCTCTAAATTCAGATGTTGAAGTCACAGCCCCCAATACGTTAGAATGTGACCTTATATGGAAATAAGGTTTGGGAGATGATAAAGTTAACATGAGGTCGATAGGGTAGGCCCTAACCCAATACGACTGTGTCCTTATAAATAGGGGAAATTTGTACACAGGGAGAGTGCTATGTGAAGATGAAGGCAGAGACCAGGGCCATGCTTCCAACAGCCAAGCAAGGCCAAAGACTGCCAGAAAACCACATATGTACTATTAACCACTAACACTAGCCTAAGTGTATGGAGTTGAACCACCTACATGAATGCCAGAATTCTGATAAAAGGAAATTCTAAATATAAAATAGGAAAAAGGCAGGGGACAGATTCTTTCTCACAGACCTCAAAATAAACCCTGATAACACTTTGATCTCAGACTTCTAGTTTTCAGAATGTAATCAGCTCCATGAACAAACACTAAATGACACCCCCCCCCATATATACTTTCCCTGTAGCTTTCTTATGCTTTGGATTCCCAGGCCTGTAGCACTGAATGGCTAGAACATTATACTTTTTCTGTTTAACTAACCATTTTACCTTTTGTGTTGTCTCCCAGAAAGAGCAGACTGTTTGCTAGATAACAATGCTAAGACTCACCAGCCATCACCTACCTGTGAGTTCTGAATTAGACTTGAATTAGCACATGTTGCTTTCAACACAGCCTGCTCCAATACACACAGCCACCTTCCGGAACCCCTTATAAAAATCCCTGCCCTCAGTTGGTCGGGGAGATGGATCTGAGGCATTCCTCCCATCTCCCAGGTGATGGCATCTGTAATAAATTACATTTTCTTCCTTGACAACCTTTGTTGTCTCAATATTTGGCTCTCTGTGTGGCAAGTAATTGGACCTAAGCCAGACTCCCTTTGTGGGTTTGGTAATAAATCTTGGTGGTCCATACTGGGACTTACTGCTCTTGGCTTGGTGGCTGTGGAGCAGGAAGAATCTTGATAGTCTCCCTAACAGCTGCCAGGCTAACCTTCTGCCAGAGGTTGTGTCAGGTTGGTGATCTGTTCTTGGTTCTTGGTGCATTCTTGCCAAAGAATGACAAGACACACCGACAACAAAGCAAGCAAGAGGCAAGGTTTATTGAGCAAAAGCAAAATGCATTCACTACAGAAAGTGAACCAGCCCCTGTTGTTAACAGGAGGCCTTGACTGACTGTTAATCAAAGTTTCATGTCTGGGTTGGAATCTCCCCGGCAGGTGTGGCTCAAGCGTCACCTTGATGGACATCTGTTTGTTATATAACCTGAGTCTTAGTACACATGCAGATTTCCCCTGAGACTCTGTGAAAGCACATAGGGGAGCGCGGGTAGGGGGCACTGCAATCTAGATTTATGCTAATGACATGATAATTGGCCCAAGCTTACTTTTGGTCATCTTCCAGACTCTGCAGTGCCTGTGCTGCTTGGCCTTTTGGCTGGGAAATCCCAAGCAGCTTTTGTGGTGAACACACTGAATTCTGATTGGCAATGCACTCTTCCTCCCTCCTGCTGTGGTGGTTATATGAAGTGGGATGCCTGCCCTCCATCCCTGAGAGAACCAAAACCCCCTTGTATCTACCTAATAGTTGCTTTTGCGTCTCTGATTGCTTTAGAAGAACGGATCCCTGGATTTTGCATCTGTGTCTGGACAGGTAAGTGCTATTTGAAGATGCCATGTACAAAGAGCACCTCTCAATTTGGGGGATTCTGAAGGATTTCCATTTGACTTTGGGGTTGAAAAGCCCCAACCATTTGAGAGAGTGGGAACTGCTCTGACTGTTTCTATTTGGCACTCCCCAGGCTTATTTGTTGGAACTGAGTCCATTTGTCTTTGGATAGATATTAAGTGCTTGTGTGAGTTGGTGTTTGTGTATGACTATGGGAAACCAGAATTCAATCCCTGAATACAGCCCTTTGGGTTGAATTCTTCCAAACTGGTCTGAATATAGCTATAAGCCTATGGAAAAAAGCATTGCATTTCTCTGTAATTCTATTTGGCCCCAATAATTCTCTCAAATCTGGGGAAATATGGTCTCTTAATGGATCACTAAACTATAATACTATTCTCCAGTTAGATTTATTCTGTCATTGTGTTGGGGAATGGGATGAAATCCCTTATGTACAGCCTTTATGCTTGTTTATCAAAATAAGCCAGACCAGAGTAAATGTAGGATTCAGGTACAGAGGACAGAAGCCTTCAAAAAGGTTGGGGAGCAAGAATTCAAACCCAAGAACCCCATTGCCTATCAGAGGTGAATTTGGGCAGCTGCCACCTGGGCTGTGGCCCCGAGCACTTCAACTCCTTCAAGGAATCCCTTTCTTAGCCCTCCTGCTCCTCCCTGGGAGCCTGGGACCCTTATTTCACCCCCACTGGCTCCTCCAGCCATTTATCCTTCACTTTCCTCCTTTTCTGAAGACAGTCTTGGGAAGCCTGAGGAGATAGTCTCACCCTGGTGTGCCTGGCAGGGTACACAATTTGGCTAGGGTCCTCTCTCCTTCCCAACAGGGCAATTTCCCTTGAGGCAGGTTAAATTTTGCTCAGTTTTCAGTGATAGATTTAAAAGATGCTTTCTTTTGCATTACCTTGCTTTGAATCCCAAGAACTATTTGCTTTTGAATGGAAAGATTTAAGATCTAAAGCCAAATGCCAATACTGTTGGACTGTCCTTCCCCAGGGGTTTAAAAACCCTCAACCATCTTTGGAGAAATTCTGGCTAGAGATTTAAGAGAAATATTTTGGACAAGAGGATAATTTTATAATATGTGGGTGACATCTTGATAGTCAGTGAGATTGAAGCTGAATCAAGGCAACATTCTGTAACTATATTATATGTCTTGGCTGACAAAGGATATAAAGCATCTCAGAAAAGGGCTCAAATCTCATTGCCCACTGTCAAATACTTGGAGTTTGAATAGTCTCAGGGAACTCAGAACCCCCTCCCAGACCAGAAAGTGGCTGTACACTGGGTAGAAATCCCTACCACCTGCAAGAAGCTGCAAGGATTCTTGGGTATGGCTAGGCTTTGTTAAATTTGGATTCCTAACTTTGGGCTAATAGTCAAACCCCTCTATGAAGACTTAAAAGGGGGTGGGGAGACCCCCTTACTTGGACTGCAGAATGCCAGGAGGCTTTCTTGACTATTAAAGAAAAATTAACGACTGCCTGTGTATTAGGCTTCCCAAATTTATGCAAACCTTTTGATTCACTTATCCAGGAAAGACAAGGAATTGCACTCAGAGTACTGACACAAACTTTGCGAGAGTTTGAAAGAGACCTGTAGCCTATTTCTCTAAGCAATTAGATGTAGTGACAAAAAGGATAGGCCACTTGTTTGAGAGCAATTGCTGCTACTTGCGATATTTTGCAAGAAGATGGAAAGTTTAACCTTGGATAGCTGGTGACTATTCATACCATACATTATGTATTACCCCCACTAGAACAGAAGAAAGTATATTGGTTAACAGTCATCTGGTTGGGTAAATATCAGACTGTTCTGTTAGATAATCCCAGTGGGACTTCAATGGCTGTGTCCACCTTGAATTCTGCTGCCTTATTGCTTGTGGACTCTCATTCTCCAGTCCACAACTGCTTTCAAATTATTGACCAAGTGTATTTTAGTCACTCTGATTTGACTCATTAACCATTGCCAGACACAGATGAGGAGCTCTTTATGGGTGGAAGCAGCTTTATGGAGCAAGGACAATGCAAAGCTGGGTATGCTGTGGTTACCAGCCAACAGGATGGGTTGAAGATTACCTGATCAAGACTGAGAAATCTTAGAGGTCACTAAAGCCCTTTTAAAACAAATTATTCCTAGGTTTGGACTTCCTTTAACTCTCCAAAGTAATAGTGGATCAGCTTTTGTTGCCAAAGTTACTCAAGAAATATTGCAAATTCTAGGAATTGACTGGATGTTGCATTCATCATGGAGACTTCAGTCTTTGGAGGCAACTGAATAGATAAATAAAAATTTAAAGAAGATTATTTCCAAAATTTGTGAAGATATTTTAAAAGGGGTAAAGTGTTATCCCTTGCCTGGTTGAGAGTTCAGGTGGCCCTCAGAAGTAAACTAGCACTTACCCCCTTGGAACTTTTATATGAGAGACATTCCTAAGAGCTTCCAGTCAGGACTTGCTCAACAATCCTTTGTCCCCAGAATTGTAGTCTTGTTCACATGTAAAACAGCTTGGTGATATGCTAATTAGTATTTCTGAGTTTGCTTCCCACAGGCTCCAGGATGTGCCTGCCCCTCCAACACTTAAAGCCAGGAGACAAGATGTTGCTGAAAACTGGGAGGAACTAGCATCCCAAAGATCAGCTGAAGCCACCGTGGATTGGCCCTTTTGAGGTGCTCCTGACAACTCACTCATCAGTGAGGACTGAACACTGATCTTTTTCTTTGCCCCCAAAATTTCCTTTCTAAGGGGGACTGGTGAGTCACACCTACAAATGATAAAAACTCAGTAAATAGGTTTTTATGATGTTGTTTACTTCTCAACCTGATTCTGCTATAGCTTCACATGAAAATAGAAGACTCTTAAACATTCCTTTCAGGTGATTCCTGGTCTTTTGGGCAAACCTAACTCTTTCAGCCAATTGCCAACTAAAGAATCCCTAAAACCACCTATGAGTTGCAAGCCCCCGCTTCAAGATGTCCTGCTGTTTTGGGGCCAAACCAATATATGCCCTCCATGTATTGATCTATTATTCTACCTGTAATTCCCGTCTCCCCCAAAATCAAACTGTATACCCAACCACAGAGAGTCCACTTGCTCAAGGCTTCTTGGGTGTGGCTCCAGGCCATGATCCTCAAATTTGGCTTAGAATAAACCTCCTTAAATTATTTTACAGATTTATTGAAACCTTAAAATCTGTACCCTCATAATATGCCGAAATAAAAAAAAAAAAATATTTTACAG